GGAAGCTGGCTGGTTCCTGACACAGGAGCTCTCCTGCAGGAGATTTGAAAGTCCAAGACAGGGGCACTAAGTCTTTGACTTGGAGAGGGAGAAGCAACAGGAAGTTGGTCATGTTAAATGTTAATCTCCCTAGGGTCTGTTTCCCCTGTGTCTCTGTCTGCTGTGACCTGTTTGACTCCTAGTCTTTTGAGTGTTCTAGAAGTCTTTAAATGATTTTAGAGAAGGAGAAATCTAAATCCATATATAAGGACTTGAAGGAAGTGTGGAAATTTTGTGGTCTGTGTCACCATGGTAGCTCCACTGTGAGGAGGTGCTATCCCTGTGTTGTCTCAGGATGCCTTCCCCACTAGCTGCAGCTACTCTGTTTTTATAGTCATCCTCTAAATCCCTCATTGATTCAGCATGTCTGGGTGTGGGAAGTTTGATTAATGTAGTTTGGCTATAGAGACCCTGTGTGATTGTCTAAAACAGCAATCAGCAATTTCAAAGGATTTATAAACGTAAAACATACTTAATTCCTTCAAATTTGATAGGGAATGAGAGAAGGTATCATAAAATCCTCAACAGATTCCAAAAATACACACAATTGTACATTTGCATTCTTTCCGGGATCTGGTGGCATTCACACACATCACTAATGTACCTCAACTCTTATAAAGACATAAATCTGGATGAGCTGATGGCACGGAAAGCTATACATCGCACACTGTAAAAAAATCCAGTGGTCACAAAACTTCCCTTTCTTTTTTTCCCTACAAAATAATGTAGAACACGGAATTACACTATCCCATTATCTGAGGCCTCAAAACTTTCTTTTTTTTTCATCAAATGCCGACACAATTTCCTCTAATGAGGGCAGTGTGTGGAGCTGGGATTCACTTCTTCAGACTTTCTTTTGCTGTTTTGTGTGAGAACCTTGGTTGTTAGGACCCAGAAGCCCCTTGAAGTTTCAAGACTTTGTTTATTCACTTGTCCAAGTTACAAGTCAGCAGCACCAACAGGCAGTCCAGCCAGCCATGAATATAAAGAGACTTAGTGTCTCCAGTGTGGAAGAACTTTGTATGAACCATGAACAATTCCAAAAGCATGCTTGTTTAGGGACAGATGACCCTATTTATCCCTTTTCTAGTTAAGCATAATGTTGAATTTTTATTTTTTTCTATACTGTTCTTTATGATGTCTTTCTCCTGTATATTCATGTCCTCAGCTAAAGGTCAACTTATTTTTGTTTCTGTTTTTTTTTTTTAACTTGTTCCTCCTCTATAATCTTGTGATTCAAATGTCATAAACTGTTTCCATTGTTTTTTTGGCTTGTTACAGGAAGTGTCTGACTATAAACCCATAACATGTACCATTCCCATGATCATAAAAATAACTGCAAAATTCCACTTTTGTAATTACTTGCTTGCTTGCTATAAAGAGGTTTCCCTGCTTTTGATCTGGGCTGATTCCTTCTCCTACTAAAAGAAACTATAAGATTGGCCAGATCGTAAATCAAATGGGATAAAAATAATGGAATAACCAGGATTTGATCCTGGTTTTCAGCACCATTACATACTGTGCACTATTTACAAGAAACAGGAAAAAGGCTCCTAATTTTGCTAGTCGTCTATGCTCAGGTGATTTCTGTTTGGTTCACTGGGTTTCCTAGACTATTGTGAATTATAAAACCAGAGTAAAATATAGGAAAAACCATTCTTTTTAGTGGATTGAAACGAAGGCATGACCACGCCTGTGTATGGTTTTTATTGCTGGGAGAACAGCCAGAAGCATCCAAGAAAGTCCAGGCTGAACATGGCCAGCAGAAAAGAGCGGGCCGTGGAGGAGGGGGGAGGGAATAAGAAAGGGAGAGAAGAGAGAGGGAGGAGAGAGGGCAAATGAATGAAGGGGGGGGGGAGTGAGAACCAAAGGGAGCATGTGGCCAAAATGCCCGAGTCATATAGGAAGGAGAAGCTAGGCTGGGAGGGAGCAGAGGGCCTGGAGAGGTTTAGGGTAAGGATCAAAGGTGAGAAGTGCTGACAGGAGCCAGGACTTTGTAACAGGTTCTTGAGATGTTGGGGTGTCTTTGATGAGTTAATAGGCACCTAGGTTAGCCCCTTGTCTTATGTCTCTTTTCAATCAGTTGCAAATATCATCAAAATAATTTACCTTTGTGATCAATATTGGGCAAGAAGTAGAAAACATGTGTATAATGATCAATTGAGTGAGATTTAATCACAAGAAAGTCACATTACCATATTAAATCTTATTTTAAATTTAGTTGTATTTAATATTTGTCATTATCTTAGGAAAATTATTTTAACTTTGGTGATTTCACCTAACATTATAAAGGCAATTAATGCTGGCTATTTAAGAAGTATCTTGATCTAACATATAAGCCATAATTTTTTTTCAAGTTGATTCTACTAAATCCTTGAAAACATAGTGATCTACTGAGGTAATAAATCTGTAGATCTATCTCTTCCCAGCTGTTAAACAGAATTTAAGAACAGGTTGATACAGAAGTCTGAGGACAATTTTATTAGGGAAAAACAAACAAGCAAACAATCCCACAAACAAACAAACAAACAAACAAACCACCTCATGTCAGGCAGGCTGTAAATATCAGCAGCTGACCAGGAGAGAACAGTGGAGGAGAAGGTAAAATCTCACACCATTTAAGCAAGTATAGAGGTCAGACACGCAGCCACATGCCATATGGCAGACAGGCAGCCACATGCCAGTATCAGTGGGGGATTTAGAGAAGATAAGGAAGCCCAAAGTATCAGAAGAAGCATACTTAGGTTCTGGCCTATAGGAGAAATGAGTTAGCATACTTTGACTACTGACCCATAATACCCCCCTTCCCCCATGCACAACAGCTGCAACCTCATTTTACAACCTTAAGATCTGCCTGGCACATGGAGACAAATGATGACAGAGTGCATTACCTGGCCAGCCAATCAGATGGTGCCAGCAACAAGGGGCCAGATGTCATGGGCCAATAGGGCATGGGTGGAAGTTATAAATGACACTCCCCGATTCTGCAATAAACAAGTCTGCTTCTACTTCTCTCCCGACTCCCAGGGTCCGTGTTGTTGATTCTGTGCCTTTTTACCCCCTATCCCCAAGGACCATCCTGAGGGGCTTAGGTCAATACTGCTCAACATCCAATAGAGAAGGAAAAAGAGAAAAAGTTGTGCCATTCTGACTCTGCCTCCCAAAAGGCAGGCAGACCCAGATGAAGCTCATGGTGGCTTCTCTGGAGTGAGGGTTGGGTAGGGGTGGGGAATGGGAGAATTCCTTGGAGAGAAAAGTATAGCATCTCATTCAAATGGAAATTATCTCTAGCACAGCTTAAGTTGAGTCCCCTTTCTTAGGGGTGGTCTTGTGACCAGGTAATTGACTGGTCCTAACTGGAATGTTAGGTCTTCACTGTGGTCAGAGAGTCTATCCCTTTGACCAGTTGTTTTAATGGGTTTTTATTGCCACTGGGACTACGGTTTGAATGTAGCTGTGTCCTCCAACATTTCATGTTAGAGGCTTCATCCTTAGTGTAGAAGTAGTGGGGCTTCAAAGAGATGGAGCATAGTAGAAGGTCCCTGGGTCACTAGGGAGTATATTCTTAGAAGAGAAGGAAAGTCCTCTTTGTCTTCCTGTTCTCTGATCTTTCTTTTCATCTACAATCCTACCACTGCTATCCATGTTGAGAGGTAACAGCCCAAGTGGGTTCTGCATAGACTGTTGTACTCTTTCCAGCAGTCAAATTTGTGAGCTAACTAAACCTCTTCTTTATACTTAGCCAGCATCATCATAGCATGAGAAACATTAAGAATGTCTCTTTTGAAAAAAAAGCATTCCAGAACTCACGTCCACCACTTGGCACAGCTAATATAATAAAGTCAGAAGTACTCAGCCTTTTGTTATAATCCTCTATGTTATGTGCATTAAATTTGGATTGTGTTGACAGCAAATAAAACAGTTTTATTATGGAAGGATCAAGTCATGCTTCTTACTCAAAGGACTACTGGAGACAAATATTTAACATTTTTGACTCAGCACCTAAAATAGTAGAATATTTTACTTTCGGGATAAAAGGTTCTCCCTTTTAATTCCAAGCAGAGATGAACTGCTTGTCAGTGACATCCCAGGGAAGACTACATCAACTAACCTGTTGCTTGCTTTTCAACTCTACAACTATATGCTTCTTTGAAAGTCACAAGCACCAGACTCAAACCTTATCCACTTATGAACACAGCATTCCAGAACCTGAAAAAAAATCAACAGTACTGTTTTGAGTCTTTATGATACAAATTGGCTCAAGTTACCAGGACAACTTTTCTCATGTTTCCCCTATCATGGTGCAGCTGACAATGCATTCAATAAATAATAATGCCAAAATAAATCTCTTAAATCTTCTTGTTGTTCAAGCAAAAGCACAGACGGATACTATATGCAATGTGTCTTAGGTAACATCAGCTATTGTGTCCAGCCTACCTATAGTAGTAGTTGCTCTACCTATAGCAGGACGTTCTAGTTCTTTTCCACATATTTTTAAGTCTTTCTTACTCACTGATCATGCCATCTAGAAGGATTGGAGCTTCTGCAGTTTACTTGATCATGAAGAACCTACTCAGTGAGTCTTCGGATTCAACCTGAGTCTGGAGTTGTTCAGGTGACTCACAGAATCTGTACTACAGATTCATTCTTCCAGTGTGAGGTTTGAGATGTGTGAGTTTCCTGGTCCAAATTAATTCCAGAAGGATTCTCTACTTGATGGTATGGCTAAAATTTATATGGCAGAGATAGCTGCTCTATAAAGTTTGTCAGGGCAGAGCTAAGAGCTCTGAACTAGGGTACAAATTAATTCATTTTCCACTTTTCCCAAGAAGCACTGCAGGTGCAAAAAAAAAAAAAAACAGGTGGGGAAATGAGTTGGGAACAGATTTCATATCATTTTCAAGGAGTAATTCAGGTCACAATTAAGTGCTCTTCAGGTAAGATATGACACACACACCACACACCTGTGTAAACCCTTTATTAAAGCAACAATCAGACTACAGGATGGGTCACAAGCCATGGTTTCTTTTTACTACAGCAATATCAACTTCTATCTTAGTCATTTGTTTATACCTTTAAATTATTTCTTATTTCTTCTTGATTCATCTTCCATCTCATTTCTCATTTCCAATTTAACAAAGAATGTTCAGAACTAGTAAAGCACAGTAAACCCAAAATGGATGCGAACATATTCTCTGAAACCAACTCACTGTTCATGGTTCTGTAGTATTAGAGATACATTTTGAGGCTTTTAATTCGTTAAATAATAAAATTAATTTTTTTCCCATAATGTTCTTAGAATTATTTACTTTCTAGCTTTATTCTAGCTATCTTTCATGATTGTAGTATTCTCAGAGCTAGCCCCGTTACATGCCCATTTTTAAGGAAAAGTCATTTAAAGAGCATCCTTCTTACATGAGATTTTTTTGTATAATAATCAACCACTTAGTCTTTTGGGAAATATGATAAATCATTATGTGCTATTTGATTATTTTATCCACAAATTATTTGCTTCATCAAAACCTATTAATCTCTGAAGAAATCATAAAAAGGTCATTACGAAAATGAACTTCGTTAATGATTTGAAGGCTTTATTGGTGAAATGTAAAATCAATATCTTAAAGTTAATAGATGTTCAAAACTGTGTGCGTGTGTGTAGATCTATAATGGAGTTTGAGTGATATTTAAAGACTACCAGTAAGTGTTTAAGAAGCAACAATAGAAATAGAAATTACTTACAGGGTTTCTGAGAGGATGTCCTAAGACATGGAGGAAAGCAGTTGAATGTACTGAGAAAAGATTGTTTTAAAGAGACTTTGATGCTCCCTTTCTTACCAAATGAGAACATTGAAAGGAAATCCCTACTTCATGTAACCACTGGGACTGGCATTTAAAAGTCCTAAAAGGAATAAACATACTACTTCAAAGCGTGTGAGAAAAGGTAACTGATTTGATTTTCTAGAACATTTCTTCCAGGGCCACAGGGTATCCCCATAGTCACCAACAGTGGCTGCACTAAAAGTCCACCGTGCCTGTCCAAAACATGCAAGCATTCATTCATTCTTCATGCCCTACCCTTTGTGTGCAATAGAACTGAGTAGATGCTGCATTGCCAGTGAATGGCACCCCGAGCCTGGGATTTAAAGTATGCCCTCAATCTGTTAATCTGATTTACATAAGCCATAACTGGATTCATTCCTCTTGCTTTCTCACTGGCTCTCATTTGCCCTTTAGAAGGATTCACTCAGTTAAAGAAGGGACAAATAAGATAACAAAGGGAGAGAGAGTCTGAGAGCCACTGTGTAGGATATCAGGCCTTTCAATCTTCCTTGTGAAAAAGTAATGTTCATAAGCACCCCAGACATCCTGGCTGCAATGACACAACAAAACAATGCTTGGCTTGGGTGGGAACATTCAGGTATTTCTAGAGCAATTTATATACATTATGTATGACATATATCACATTTGGTTCCTAGAGATTTTAGTCAAGTATTAGTGTTTCTTTTTGCCAACTGTGATGTACAAAAAGATGAGAACAACAGATGTGCCCTAAAGATATGAAAATATGAATATATAAAACAAACCATTATAAATTACATAGATTTTTCCCCATATAAAATTTTGGGTATTTTCCCCATTCAGAATAAATACCATCCAAGTTTATAGATTATCTAAGAGAATTAAATATGCATATGTATGTGAATCATTTTCAGAATTTCAAGAAAAAAAATTGCTAGAGGTATAACCAGGATGAGTCAGAAACCAGAAACTGATTTTTTTAAAGAATGACTGACTATAGCAGATCCAAAGGTTGGGATAGAATATTGAATGCTGGGATTGAATGTTGCACTTTTAAAACTACCCAAATGAGTTCGTTGTGTAGGTGTGTGTATGGTCAATGGGACTCCATGAATAATTCTAAGGATGTGAATGGTTTACTTTTGGGGGAAACTATCAGCTGAGTTGTTACGAGGTCTTCCACATTTCAGATTCGTGTAAGAGGCTGTTCTCATTTTGGAAGGCTCTGTGGAGGGATATCTAGAGCATAGAATCTGGATAGAGAAATTCCATATGAAGCCAAGCTCCCTTTAAGGTAGGAGAGTCTTGTCCCAAGGACATCTAATGCCTTAAAGAGGGAAGTCTGAAAAATCATCCCACTGCAGGCTGAAGAATCAAAGCCAAGCTGGAAACATCTTTTGGTCATATATCTCAGCTCTTGTTTCATAGTAAATCTGCCTCCTTTCAAATATTCTCCTAGATCAGTATCTGTATGGAATGGGTACCTTGCCCTGCTGCTTCCACGAGGAATTCTGCACATGGGTTTGGATGGAGTGAGAACTGAATAGAATAGAATTCACGTATCATCACAAAACATTCAGTAGTTAGTCCCTGTTGTTACTCTGGGCATATATATCAAAAGTAAGTATTTGTCAATCTTCATGAAAATCATGGACTCTATATATTTTAAAAGCTGGGGATAAAACTTTTCTTCAATGTGACTGTATAAAATCCCCATCCAGAGAGTCCAAAAAGAAGTCAAGGCTTCTTATGGCTGCAGGCTATAGGTTTCTTTAGGTGACCCATAAGAAAGTTCAATTTGGAGCCAATGAGACATTTCTCATAAAGGTAAATCTGATCAAACTCCAAGTCTTGTCAGGTTGCTTTCCACTTGAATTGTCCATAACTTTGTCCTGCAACAGTCCTACTACCTTCACTTACAGATACAGCTGCTGTAGAGTGTGTGGCACACAAGCACCACATCTCATATGCCCGCTTTTGTACCCATTGACTTCAAAGGATAATTACAGTTTGAAGACTTTCCACAAAAGTCTAAGGGTGCTTCAAGTGCTCACCTACTCTACTGACCGTTACCAGCATAGTCTATCCCCACTCAGGTGAAAAAGATCAACACTGCAGTACGGAAGCAGTTGTTCATGGTCACTTCCTCTGATGGCAATCATGTGGTTATTAAACACCTGGTTCTGTTCTGACAACCCCATCACACCCACCAGGCCTCTGATGCCTGTTTTAAAGTTGCAGTCTCCCTTGTTTGTATTTGAAAATAAAATAACAGCACTCATCATTCTTACTGAGATTAAATCTACATCAGAGAAGAGGGCCTCATAATTTATTTTTTTGGAGGGGAGTGATTCTCGATTTTGTTGAAAATGCTGTGATCCTTTTCATTTGAGTAAATAACATAGCATTAAAACTGGCTCGGTAACCCAGAGATGAAAGCAAAAATCTTTAAAACAATTATGAAAAGAGGCAAAAGATAGTTTTAATATTGGGTTCTTTCTCTGAATGTGATGCGGGCAGGGGAGGGGGGCGGGGAATGGTGCTCAGAGTTCATCCAATTTGCCCTGATTTACTGAGAGGAAAACTGAGGCCTAGACTTGCCAAAAGCCTGCCAGCTAGTTATTGGTACAGTCAAGTATTAAACCTCTGGACGGCTGGTTTGTCTTTTTTCTCTTATATCAAGCTGCCTTACACACATTGCATTTTAGTGGGACAAAGAATTCTATCATTTCAGGATAAAAATCATCTTTGTTATTATCCTCATCTTGCAATGACCAACAAGTCAAGTATGCAGTCTAATGGGGACCTGGTTATACTGTTCACAGAGCTATGAGTTGCTGCCTTAAATCTGCTGCTGAGCTGACAATACCCTATAGGTCCTGCAAGGCCTTGTGGGAAGCTGATGTGCTATACCTACAGGAAATGACCAGATACCTCCCTCTTTGGAAGTAAATCTCTCAGGGAAAGAACCTTCCTTCATTTGGTCTTACACATACATGCAAACCATTTACATGAGTGCTATAGGTATATCTAAGCATTTATAATCTTGCTGTATACCTCAGCTGAATGCGCTCAGAACTCAGCAGGTAAATGTTTTTATTTGACTCTTAAAGTGCTATCTGGGGTCAAAGTTTTTCTCAGTTTCACAATAGCAGCTTTGTTGGAAACAAAAAGCATATGAAAAATAGATATGAGGTTATTAATTTTTTTAAAAGAGAAAATTAGGGAAAAGAAAAGAGTACAGTAACTACTTTGGAGCATTACACATGACTTACAGATATCAGCTGTGTCAGCAACTGACACCCAAGACTCTTGAGGTCAACCTACTAAGGGAAAATAAGGACAAAGGTGACACAGGGGATTCTAGCAGAAAGAACAATTAATATTAATATAATAACAACTACTCCATTGGAAAAGAATGGCAAAGACAATTAAAACTGAGAAGAAAGTGCAACAAACCCATATGTGAGCATTTGCTACTATAGCAGACCTGTAATTTTCAAAGGAAAAGCAATGCAGTATGCATTAGACAGGGCTCCTGAACTCAGAATGTCTTACAATAATAGTGTACTCTTGGCCAAAAGGGCATCACCAATTAAGGAATTTGGCAGAAAATGGCCTCTACAATTCAGATCACACGGACAGATCCCTGCCCCATCTTATCAGTTCTGTACCCGAGCACTCTTCAGATCCTTTTCTACTGGGGTGATTCCAGTCACATGAACTCCATGCAGGTGTCTTCCCTCTCGCCGGGGCATCACTCTTACCTAAGGGATGAGCGTCTCCTGGTAAGGCTTAGCGGCAAGTGCATACTACATTTGTATTAAGGAGCAGCCCCTGATTTTCTTGATATGCATAGCTTTTCGGAGTTAAGATTAGACATGGCTTTCATAAATAATGCAGGTGTTTCTGTCACATGTCACTGCTGGCTCTGTTGTTTCTAGGTGTGCTGGTGGCAGTCCTCGTTCTGGTGCCTCTACAGGTGACGTCTCTTCAGATGTCAGCTCTGTGGTCGTTATGTCTGTAGAAGGCTCTGCAGTCTCTGGGGAGTGTTCCTCCGATGGTTCTGTCTCCTCTTCATCTTTGATCTCAAAGTGTCCTCCCTCCTGGTCATCCACATGATCCTTTTTGGACTGGGGGTGAACTGAAACCTTGATGGCAATCTGCTGAGGCTGTTCATGCAATGACGAAGCATCCGAGTCGGCAGTGGGGGACTCACTTCGTTTCAGAGAGTTGGGGATGGTGTATACCTCATCCCTATCTGGGGCTTCCTGGCCTTCTGGGGTATGCCTCACAAAATTCTGCCCCTGCTCTTCCAGCCCGACCACTTCCATGATCTCCTCCATGATCGTCCTGCAGTTCATGATGAGGGGAGGCAGGGGCACGCTCCTAGCAAGCTCTTCAATGTACCTAGCAAATTCCATGGTTTTGAACTGAGTCACTTTGGCAAGCTCTAGAGTTTTGGCTGAGGTTATGATGGGGATGCGTTTAGCAATCTCAAAAGCCTTCTGCAGCTTCTCTGCACCTTCTGTCCTAAAGAACTCATTGATGGCTTTCTCAGTCTTCTTCAGGTGGCTGCTCATCATACACAGGCGAGTGATGTTGAGGATCATGACAATTGTGAAGGCCACGAGGCACACAACCATATAGTACACACCCATGTCTCCAGAGGTAAAGATGACTCTCAGGGTCACCGTGTTGTTTATAGTGCCATAGATGTTAGATGCCACACATGTGTATTTACCTCTGTCCGAGAATGACACCTTGGTGATGTTCAGGAGGCCACCATCCAGCATTTGCCATTTTCCTGTCAGAAGGGAGGGAAGAGATTTCAATCAAAAGTATGTGATTTCCATAGCCACATAATCTTATGCCCATCTTAAAACATGAAAGGGGGCTGATGATAACATCACACATGGAACAGATGTGCCTGCTGTATACTTGTGACACCTTTCCATTCATGTCCACTGGGACATTTTAAGAAAGCACTAATATTGGCTCTATATTATGGGCAAGAAAACTGACACAGTTGAGCACCTTTACCAAGATTAACTATTTTGTAGTAGCATATATGATTACAGGGTGAATTTGTACTTGAAAAGCTGTATTCTTTTCCTATTCCTTGATTCTTTTTTTGTGGTGATGAGAGTTCAAACTTAGGGCCTCAAACATGCTAGGGAAGTGCTCTTCCTATAGGGAAGTGCTCTAGGCTATATCCCTAGTCTCCAGGGCCCCAAAGTCCCATATCCCTCCCTCCCAACTTCATGTTTTCCTTTTGTTGTTGTCATTAATAATACCCTCATTCCCATCAGTTCTGTCTGTATATGGGTGTGGGGAAATTCAGTGGATTTTGGGCATCCTACCATAAGCAAAGTCACCTAAGGAGTGGAACTTCCTTAGTGGACAAGGTTACATTGATAACTATAGACTATAGTATGGAATTCCAAAACTTGGTGGTAAATAATATAGAAAATGAAGTGTTTTTAAGAAATAGTTCCTGAAGGTACCATCAGTCTTTCTACCTGGATTGTGAATAGACCTTCACTGAACACACTTCACAGGGGAGGCTAAGGCCTCTTGGAATGGAAAACATTTTAGGTTCAACATAAAACCTGGAGAGAATCAATTCAATCATAATCATTTGCTTGGGCAACTTATATTTGGGATTGATATTATCCATCTATGACTTCAGTTAATTAAACATAATTTATGCCATGAATTTTGAGAATTCACAGTAAATTATCTATACTGTTTAGAGTTAGAAGCACGCAATGAAGATTCAGAGGTCAAATATGAACTCACATCAGTTAGCTTTAGCCTTGAAAATAAATGAAGCCCATCAGGGCGATGATAAGCCTGTGAAGAAGAAGGTGTTTTGGTAGTTATGACTTCATGCTAGCCTGGGAATGGGGTTCTAAATCCAGTGGGATGAGATGAATTATGACTCTGTGTCTCTGCAGCTCCAAAGATTTCTGTGAAGTAGGACATTAGGTTTGACCTCCGGGTACTGGGTCAGAGTTAGTAATTAAATACTAATTCCCATGTCCTATTGTCTCTCATAGAACAAAGAATCTCGAAGCTAAGGCTCTTGAGAGTTTTAAGGAACGAGCAGATAGTTCTTCACAAAAGGGCTCTTGTACTCTGAACCAACCAGAGAAGTTGGCACCATTTAACACAGCTTTAAGTATCTTTAAGTCATACATAGCCAAGTATGACTGCTTCTTCCCATCACAGTAGCTGCTTTAACTTGCAATTAAGAGTCTAATGAAGTTGGGACTAGCTCAACTCTTTCTAATGGCAGAACCCATGTCTTGCCTTCAGAAGTTCAAGCCCCAGCACTGTTGACTCATAAATAGCTATGGTCTCAAAGGACTACTGTATGAGGTTTCAGATGATCTGGAGTCTTCTAAATCAAGGAACATGTGCAAAGAGGCTAGATTCACCAATGTGGTCCTTTCCTGGGCTCACAGTACCTCCCTATTACCCACCTCTGGCAAAAGGTCCCCATTTAGAAGCTGTCAAATTTTTTTGCCTTCTGGAAGGACATGTGTAAAGGGTGGTTCCTGGGGTCCCCAAATAAATGTGTTTAACAATCCAGCCAGTGTACTTCCCCTAAGAGTAGAAAGGGCTAGCTTAGAAAGTCTAGTGATTTCAGTTTCTTGGGAATTTGAGTAAGCAGACAACACAGCATGCGGTCCATGATTGCATGATACTCTCCATTCTGATGCAGCTAAGGCAATCTGTCATTCCCCAAGCATGAATTTTAATCTTTCTGCTGAAGATTTAGCTGCATAGACAATGACTGGAGACCAGGGAAACTGCTTTATCTATTTATTTTCTTATAATGTGCGTGTTTCATGTAGGTTATAGCAGGCACAGGAAAAATAAATGGATGGACAGTTTATTCTATATGAAGGTGCCTTGGAAAGTGTTCTTGTATCATCTGCCTCCCTTCTGTTGGAGCCAGGATGGGCGAGAAGAGTCAGAATTGAGTAGGTCAATCTGTTTCTCTCCACTCTACCTTTCTACACCCATTACCTGGTGAAATTATTATAAACATGAAGCTTGGGCTTGGGATAGGAGAAAGCAGGTTCGTAAAGCAGAGACAGAGGTGCCTGATGGAAGTTAACAATAGCTTTCTCCCCATACTCGAATAGGTTTAGTGAAGTTCCATCCACTTTCACAGGAAGAGAAAACACAAAAATACCCAGTAGCTACAGGGAATGTTTTCCTCTACTGAGTATTTTGAAATGTTCTAGACTTGACCTTTAAACTCATTCCAGACGTACTTAAAATTTTCTATTGACTCCCACTTATCTAACCTTGGGCCAAGCAGTTAAATTCAGATATACAGACACTTTGAAACTTGTCTTCTTGTGTTGTTAAAAGGAGCGTGGTTGGGTACCAAACACAACCTGATTTGTTTGCTCTCTGCAGTGGATTATGGCGAATGATTTCTTACAAATATATTATGGTTTGTAGCTCAGAATTATACTTTAAACTAACGTCTCTTAAATAATACGTCCAACACATTTACTCTATTTTAAAAGCTATTTATTTATTTTTATTTGTGTGTGGGTGTATGAACCTACATGAGTTTATATGCACCATGTGTGCATACAAGAAAGCCAGAAAAGGGAGTCAAGTTAGGTCTATGGAACTGGAGTTACAGATAGTTATGAGCTATCATGTGTGTGTTGGGAATAAATCTGGCCTCTCTATAAGAGCAGTAAGTGCCCTGAACTGCCAAGCCAACTCTCCCGACCCTTGTTTGCCTTCAAACGTTGGAGCCCAAACACATATGTGTGAAGTAAGCATTATGATTTAACTGTAAGGTATAACAAATATGAACACATATTCTGTGATCCCCGTAGAGTTTGATCTTTCACCATTACTTTAGTTAAATAACAGCTATTTCTGTTCCAGTCTAGGAGGACCATCGCTTTAGTTCTTGAAACCAACAGCATGTTTGTTTCATGATGTCAGGTAATATCAGTGCCACTTAGGGTCCTGTGGATGTATCATATTGTAGAATGAATACATGATCTAGATTAACAGTTTGTCACTCAGCTACAAAGCAAGTCAAAATACCGGGAGTCTATGCACAGATACACACACATACATAAGCATGCATACACACACAAACACTCATGCACACATATTCACATACCTACACACATTCATGTACACACATAGACATACAGTTATAGACACAAGAATGCATATATATATATATATTAATTATATGTATATATTCACATGTAAACACACACATGTACACACATATACACCTTCCAATGTTTACGTAAGATGAACTAAAGTTCTGATCCTCTGATCTTAAAAAGGCTTAGTACATATTTGTTTCTTTCTCTTGACTGGTAACTTCACTGTTTTGTGGACAGTGAGGCTCCAAAATTCTATTCAACCTTAGCTTCCCCTCTGATCAGTGAAAAACAATCTACTCATGATTTACTAACGCATCGAGACCTGCAAACCAGAGAGATGCCATGAGTTATGCTTTGTGGTTTTCTTCCCTCAGGTTGGACCAGGCTCAAGAAACATCTCCACAGGGTAGCTCCCCAGCTGGAATAATGGTGGGCCTTGTCTCTGTGCCAGAACGTTCCATCCACCTCCATCTGTGAGAATGCCCTCCCTGAGACCTATTCTGGAAGGGTCCCAGCTTTGGCTGCCGGAACGTGAAAGACATAAGCACACCCACAGTGACTATCACAGGAAATCTTCAGTGCCATGAATACGAAGCAGACACATACACACCAGGCTGCTGCCAGGCGGTTTAAACTGTAGCTGGTGAGAATGTCAGAGCTATGCACTGAATTTTCATGAAGCTGTAGCCACTTCAGTGCAAATAAAAACCTGAAGTGTCAGCAGCTGAAGCCAAGGCAGCTCCACAGGCCATGCTTTGGGTGGCAATAAAAGGGCAGGCTGTTAAGGATGACGACCTACCTTCTGAAATAAAAACAGAAGACGGAATGTCAAGCATTTTCTCAGTACTCATGAGTTCTTTCTCTTACCCACTTTCTGTGTCTTGCTCAGATTGTAGCTCCCCACCCTCAAATTCCAAATTCTTTTCCTCCATTGTCTTTCTTCCTGGTGCTGCCTTGCAAAGTGACAGCACCTCTGAGGCTTCAGGCTAAAATACAGACACATTCATTAGTGTAGATTTGTGGTCACCTAGCAATCTGTCTCTGTCTTCCTCCAGGAACTCCCAGGCACACGAACATCTCTCACACGTGAATGAATGTGTTGTGACAACCTCTCCTTTGCAAAGAGAGGAGCTAACAGATGTGCAGTTTGAGCTGGGCTGCAGGATGTGTGCTGGCCTTCACAAGGCTGCTGGCATTTTCGTAAGGGTGGTGATCTTGTTCATCTTGCTCACTCGTTCAGTCAAAGGATATCATGGAATAAATTGTGTGTACCAAGCTCGGCACTAGATGATAAGAATACAAAGATAAGCAAGACACGAGTCCTGACTACCAAAATCATCAGTCCCCGTGGGGAAAGGACTCCGACAGACAGCTCTAGCTCTGAGGGAAGGCAGAGGTGGCCGGCAGGTGAAACCAGGATGAGGAGAAGAGAGAAGAGACTCTTGGGGCCAGTGGGGGATGGTGAAGGAAGCAAGAGAGAACACAGTGTGAGGTGCTGAGCTCACAAACCACGTATAAAACCAGAGCAGGGCTTGGATGAAGACAGGCTTGAAAGGAATGCAGGGTAAAGTTTGGGTGCCTGTAACACACAGCGACAGAGCAGGAGGAGTTTGACCCCTTCAATTTTTGCATTTTGTTTTAA